AAAAAGAAAAAAAAATCTCTGACATGACGCTGAATATGTGTATATAAATACCTAACACCCCATATTTACATTTCAAAAAAAACTTTTTTTGTCATTTAAAAATGAAGAATTACTTCCTGCCGATGTATAGTGTCTCAACCGTGCGCCTTTTCCCAACCTTTCTTTGGGAACGGTGTGTCAAAAAAAAAAAGAAATGTAAAAAAAAAAGAAAGAAAGAAAGAAAGAAAGAAAGAAAGGCCAGAGCTCTAACATTATGTAAATGAGGCAAACCTCTCAACCTTGTGGATTACCGAGTCAGAGAGCAAGACCCTGTAGTCCGCAAACCCCCCTCCACATCAGGACCCCATAAAAATCTGGAGCTCGATGGCTGCAAGCAACGGTTAGAACAGCTTAGACCCCAAATTAATTATTTTTATTATTAGTTTAAATCTATGTCAACTTAAAAATAATAATAATAATAATAATAATAATAATAATAATAATAATAATAATAAAAAAACAAAACATGGGAATAAGATGCGAAGAACGCAGATGGAGACAGATAAACGAGGAACCGCGACAAGGTTGGTCAATTTCTGGGATTTGCCTTTTTTTTTTTTCTTTTACAAATGAAACTGTTTTCCTTGTAATTATTTTTGAAGATATATGTTACCTGATGCAGTGTGTATTGCCATAAGGCAGACCCTATTTGCCTCCATGTTAAACATGAGCCTATTGAGGATAAGAGTTAAAGAAACATTGTGAGGAAAGATGCGTTCTGGTCCTCTTTCTTTTTGGCACTAACGTTAAGATCGCTTTAACATTTTGACTCCCGTTGAATGCATCTCCGCTATTAATTATTGGAGATAATATCTCATACTCATTGCTATAAGGATGGAGATATATCTGCAGCTCATTTGACAATGAATCGTTCTATATGTTTGAAATTACTTCCTAAAGAAAAAAATAATAATAATAACATTTGCATGTTTACTGTGCAAATCAAGGGATTTTAATTCACATCAGCGACACTATTACTTTTCCACCAGTAAGTGATTTTATCTTGGCAGTTTAGCAGTTGTTTACAAGAACCTAATAACAAACCATGATTATCACTAGTTCATATCCCCCTGTCAACCTTTTTTTTTTTTTCCAATACTGTCACTCCTCCCTTAAAGCAGCAGATGCATCCAGGCGGCCTGGTTCCTGAAGTGCTTTTCTCCATCTCGTTGATGCGAGTTCAATACCCTGAGAGATGCGTAGAGATGGCTGAAGGGCCCGGGTCCTGACCCTCCAACTCAATCACACACCGGCCGAGGACATTGTGCAGGAAAGTGCAGAATTTATTTTTACTTAGAGCCCCGGACGTCTCCATTCGACGTCGCGTGTTTTGTGGTCTTCTCTATACGACGGAGTTTTAATTTTCATATAGATAGAAAATAGGTGACAGTGAAGATAGTTTACGGCACTTTGTCTGTGATTTGTTGTCGCTTGTTGATTCAAAATGTTTTAGGAATTAGATGAACGTCAATACATATTCGTAATTTACGCACAGCCAGTTTCCTTAGATTTTCTTTATTTATTTATTGATTTATTTATCATTTTTTGCAAGTGGATCTATAGAGACGTTGAACCGAATGCAGCCTGTTTTTTGCGTGCAACTTGCTGTTGTTTGCAGCGTTTTTGAGGTCTGGAAAAGCGCACGCGATGTCAGAACTTAAATGTTCAACAAATGCATAAAATTTAAGGCATAAACGTGAATGCGTGGTGCTTAAAAATCTCATTTTGACTTAAGTTCCCACGGAACAATTGGGATATTGATCTGAAACATTAAAAATGTTCGAGTAAATGATTGAGGACAAGTTGTTTTTGATTACAAATAAACATGACCTCCACCTCTCCCCGAAATACTGATAAATTTGTCGGAAAACCAATAGTAGATAAATATACATAATACAAATAATTTATTTGTTGTTTTTGTGACGGGGAAGGAAGAGAAAAAAAATAAAAACAAGAAAAAGAATCTAATTTCGAATATTTGCACTCACAACCAGATTACTTCATGTGATCTTATTTGAGATGCCGGTCTCTCGTGTCTGGCCTGTGAGGCTCATTTGTTGCAGAGATTTATGGAGGAAATTCCACACCTGCGGCCATTGTTGCACCATTTAGATCAAATACTTTCTCTCCTCTCAACTCGCGGCGCAGTGCGAGAGCAAAAAGCGGGCAGGTGCATATCTTTCAGCCGCTCTACTTGAAATGTTGCGGCTTCTCTGGTAAGTAGGTTAAAGGTCCTCCCAAGTGGAGAAAGTATGTGACAGACCTCTTGAAGGCCGTATTCTTCTGCAGGAGTTTGCATTCATTCACAATTAATGTGGCTTGATGAACGAAATGATGCTAATAGGGGTCCCCCAAAAAAAAGGCATAAGAAAAAAAGAAAGAAAGAAAGAAAGAAAGAAAACAGAATATGGGCTTTAATGGGATGCGGAGACATATTCTTGCTGCTGGGGAAAACGGCGAACGGAAGAATTAAATGTATTATAATGGGATTAAAGTGCTGGCGTTTTATTATTTTTTTTCTTCTTCTAGAATCAAAGCAGTTCATTTAGTGTGGTAGAGCTAAGAGAAATATAAAGGAATCACAATTTCTACATCTGAAATTTCTCAATGTCTCAAAACGAGTTTGCTCTTTACACGGCCTCTAAATGTGCAACATGCTGATGAAAGAAATAATTCTTTCAAATTTGTAAAAGTTAACAGTTTATTTTATATTTTTCACGGAACAGCGACATAAATTAAAAGTGAAGAACATGGTTTCCTGCATCATTACAGACACATAGGGCTTTTCTAACTTAAAAAAAATACATTAAGATTTGTTTAATTGGTTTATGTACATTATAAAAACACACGGGACACCCTAAGAGGCCAGATGCATAATTTTTGATAAAACATTTTCTGAAAGCTTTACCACAATTAGAACTTTTCTCAGACATTTGTTGTCGGAGTCTGTGTTTTTGTGATGTATTAAGCCTCCATAGTTTTGATTATGAAAACTTGATTATGGGCACCAAAGCCAAAGGAATCAATTATTATACAAATAAGCCTGAGAGAACCCAAAGATGAAGAAAAGATATTGAAAAGTAATTTTAAGAATCAAGAATAAGCTATATTAAAAAAAAATCATGTTTAAAAATAACATTTTCTCCCAAGTATCTACTGTACGATTCTCTAAAAGAGTTAAATGAAAAGACTTTCTATGCTTCAAAGTGAATCCTTTCTCTTCACTCTATGCACAAAACAATGAAGGTAAAATTAGCTTCAGTGCCAATAGTGCATTTCAGCTTCTCAAACCTAATCTCCCATTGAGCTCGCCCAAACCGAAACGCTAATTCATCCTTGGGGACCCTAAAAGGTTTCAGATTTTTGTGAGATGTACTACTTTAACAGTCAAAACTCTTTAGAAATGATAATAATAATTATAAAAAAAAAAACCTGTGCCAGAACAAAAACTAAGAAAATGTTGCTTCCAAAACTTTCAAACCCAAATGTCCATGAGTGCCAGTGTCCTCCGTGCTGTTTCAAGTGGCAACATTTTATCATACCTGCTCTCTTTTGTAACAACAATTAAAACAAAAAAAATCATGCAGGCACAGCAGCAGATCAATGCAGATCACCAAATGTACTGCAGAACAAAGCAGGGTGGTGTACTTGGACTGGGTGCTTGGTTCCAAGGGTACCTGGTTCAGTCCACTTCTCTGCTGCATTAATTGTGGCAGCAGTAAGGGCAGGTAAACAAAGCTGTTAGAGAGTATAGTTGTGACTCAAACACGACTCGCTCTAGCTTTGTCGCCCAACTACTCGTATGTCCAAATGCATCTGCCAATCTTTCTCTTGTCTTTTTATTCTCCCTTGAATGCAATTGGTTGTTGTGATACAATAAAACCCACTTTGATATCTGGAAGCAACATTATAGAACAGAATAGAAGCTAAAAAAAACAACAAAAAAACTCATAAGGTTGTGTGTTTTTGTTAATGAACAAACATTGTTCAAGTTACAAAAACAATGTTTAAGTGTTTCCAGAAACTGTGAATGGAATAAACATAAATAAAATAGATATACTTCATCAGCTGTTTTTGGTTTTTACTCATAATGTAAACCATATTGATTTTAGTGCATAAAGAGGAAATTGTACCAAGTTTATGCCTTTATTGTCTTCAACAACAATAACTAAGTTGGGCAAAACCTGCACAAGTTTACTGCATCCATAAACATCCTGTGACAGTTATACAAAACATAGAATTATATTTTGATCACACAATACCTTATTCTTTCAATTCAAAAGTTACATTTCTTTGATGTAGTAGATCTTTATACAACACAGCATTGGACAAAAAAATAAAACAAAACAAAACAAAAAAAACTACCTACCAAAATGTATAAGTTCTTTATACAAAGACAGTGATATAATTTGAGGGATTGTGAAAATTTTAAGATCCAAGCAGTGAGAACCACTAGGAAAAGTTTGTGTATGTGTGTTTGTTGTGTTAAACTTAGAAACTGGTTGTTTCACAGCTCAAGCAAAGTTCAAAATTTCATCCCTTTAAATGAAGACATATAGAAATGTTCTGTTCACATCACTGCTGTCTGACTGGGATGGCAAAGTATATTTGTATTTTGCAACACTAACTGTATATTACATTTAGTGATTACTTTTTATACCTTGTTAATGTAAAATGCTACGTTGACATGGCACTGAAGAAGTAGTTACTAAACTGTACCAGCAAACATATAATTTATTTTGGAATGCAAATGAGGAGTGGTGGTAAACGTTTTTCCTCATCCCACTCCTTATTATAAGTTTAATACGTTACATTATTCTTAAATTTCATCTTTTTCTTTTTTTTTTGTAGATCTGCATAGTTATTTACATATATTTTTCTTACCAAATGAAAAGGTGTTACATAATATTATACTGTATTTGATTTCTTACTTAAGCAGAAAAAAGTAAACATGTCCAAAAGTCATTATAGCAAATTTGAATTCCACTTAAAGTCCAAGTTTGATGATTACTCTTTTGGACCTCTAATAGACTTTAGTTGATTTAGTGATTCAGTTTCAGCTTAAATGTATTTTTGCTCACTTATGTGTTCAGTCCTTTCCCACATCGTTGTCTCTGGACTGAGCAGATATTCAAAGCTGTTTTCTTGTGTTCATGGTTGTTGATGATCAGCTCGCATATGATCCATTTCATTTGACTCTACCACCTGCACACTGCCAGGCTATTAGTGCAAGATTACAAAAAATGTGTTTTGTTTTTCATCAATCAGCCATGAATACAGAAAACCTCAGTGGTATCTTCTCAGGCCTTTTACTATCGGACACTTGCCAATTAATGTGGACATTATGCTTCGTTGAGTAAATGATGCCTTCATTTGCTGGCTGTATTTCTCCTTGAAATATTCAAACAGCACTGCAAAAATATCGAGTTTTTTAGACTCCAAATTGAACCTCTTATAAAAAAAAAAAAAAAAAAAAATTACAGATTGATTTTATGTGAATTGCGTTTATTTTTATGTTAGAAGACTCAGGTTGATGCATTCATATTCAATAAATGGGCCTCTGTGAGGCCCGTTTGTCAGATCAAAAGTACTTCTTAAAAATAGCAATCTTTGAGCAGGTATTAAACATACATTCTAAGCACCAGTGTCTGTATTAAAACTCTTTTTATTGGTCTGTTGTAGCTTTCTAATCTTAAATTTCATGTTTTCATTCATATGAAGTGGAGATATCATTATTATTAAAACAAGGAAAGGCTTGCAAACATCAGTTTTTTGCATTTAATAATGAGTTTCACTTAGTGAATTGATGAAATAACTGAAGGTTTCAACAATATTTAAATTTATTGAATATGATGGGAGATGAATGATGGGAGTTCATTTGCGCCCAGAGGGCATAGATGAGGGTAGCGGAGATGAGTCTCTCAGAAAAGGAAGATATTTGAGCATATTTGTTATTAATTTGTGTCACAAATATTCCACTGTCAAGCCACATTTTGCTCATGTGAGTGAACAAAACTCAGAGAAAAGTCCATGTTTTCTCTTTCTTTTCTTTTCTTCTTTTTTCTTATAGAGAAATATATGAAAAGGGTTTTTGCCATGGGTAAAGTCTTGTTGTAGCTGTAGATATTCTGTCATACAAAACAGTATTTAGATCCAAAATGTATGCAAATAACTGCAATTGCTGCCGACCCCACCCCCCATGCTAACACTCTGGAGATGTATCTTCTACTCGAAAGTATCAGAGCTCTCTGAGTGCTGCACATGGAGACAGAAACTTTCTAAATCATGAAGCTGCACATCAATGAGATGTTTTTACCTGCCTGTTTGTCCCCCACTTTGGGATCCTTTTATTCAGAAGGCCGCCTGATAGCCCACCATTATTTAGATGAAGTCACATAAACACCTCGCAAAGCTACTTCAGATCTGGACAGATCCGAGACCACACCATGTAGGAGCATTTTAAATACTTAACTAAATCAGTCTTTTTTTTTTAAGCTGTATAAAAAAATACTAAATTGGCTTTTCTCTTTTTTCTAGAAAGTTAATTCTGTTTGTTTCAGCTGCTGAACATAAAAGTCTTCGTCATAAAAGGAATTCGGAGAAGGTAATTGCACTTACACAACTTTTATAAATATTTTTAAGCAAAAAGAAATATCACACTATTGCACAGTTTATCAGGGCATGTACCTTTTTATCATAATTTCAGCAGGCATAGTTTTTGTAAAAGTTAAAGAATTTTGTAAAATAATTTTGGTGAAATTTTAATGGTTTGCATGTATTAATGATGTTGTTGCGCTCAGCTATTTTATTAATTCAAAGATGGCAGTCAAAGACATAAAATATTGTTCGTAAAATATAATTGCAGCAAAATGAAATTCTTTTTCAGTCATTATAAGTGGAATAAAACTGTTTCCAGAGCAATTTTTTGTCCGAGGGGGCATTTAGGGTGCCGATGTTGACTTTAACAAACACAAAAGAGTAAAATACGTCTCAGAAATGTCTGCATACACCAAATTGTTTCAAGGTTTATAGCTTTAAGCAACATGATATTGCCAGTCTTACACAAAATAGATGCAAACATTACTACAATGGAAATGTATGTCTATTTACATATATATGTATAAGAAATTCATAAGAATTTTGAAGCTGTGTGCATGTGTGTGTGTGTGTGTGTGTGTGTGTGTGTGTGTAAGGGTGTGTGTGGGCGTGTGCCGTGGTGTGCAGGTGTGTGTGTTTTTGAAGAAAAAATTATTAATGGAACAAAACACGGAAAATAGGAAATAAGTAAAAGCATTTTATTGTATCTCCTCACAAGAGATGCTAAATGTTAGATATCAATGTTTCAATATGGAGCAAATTGAAAATCTGTACAAAACGTAGCATGAGTTTTTTTTGTCACAGATAGAAAATACTCTTATTTTTATGGAAGATAAAGATTCAGATTTTTTTTTAGTTCAAAATACATAAGTAATCAACTTGATAATATTAAATATTCACAAGTCCCCAAGTTTCCTTGAGTCAATAAATCCTTGTGTGTAAATTGCATTTCAGCTATAATGGCATGCTAAAATTCTACTGTATGTGTAAAAAGACCATGTGGAATAAAAAAAAAAACTGAAATAAGAAGTACTCTATTTTAGTTACCCCCAGTTTGTTTTCCTAAATAAACTGGGGGTACAGGGGAGTCCCTAATTAAGATATGAGAAATAAATCATTTTATTGTCAATGCAAATCATTTTTCACGTTTAGCTTGAGTCAATATTTTAACCTTTCTTGTGTTTTTTTTTTTTTAAATCAGTGTAATAACAAGTAAATTTGACCAAAAAACTAAAAATATGCCACATCCTGTTTATTTATTACAACCAGATAATAAAGTGTATTTTTTTTTCTAGGTGGCAAATCACAATTTATTTGTCAATTGGGTATTTTTAAATACCAAACTTGGGCTCATATAGAAAAGATACACTAGTTCACAGTCAATCAAAATCTTGTATTTTTAGTTTTGCATCACATCTTTCAGAAACTTTGAACTTGAAATGGCAAATTTCTTAGCAAAGGAGAGCAAGTTACAGCTATATTAAAATAAAAAAATGCTGAAGTTCACTTGACATGCTGCAAAATTCTTTATAGCTTTTGTGCATGGCCTGCTACTTTGTGATAGAATAGAGTAGCATTTTTTTCCCCTCGCTGGCAGATTTTGTACGAGTTTGGTCAGTCATATTACCTTATAAACAAACTAAACTCTGTTGTACTTTTTGACTGACAACAAGTCTGATGTGTCTCTCCTTCATTGTTTGTTCTGTCTCGTCTCATTTCAGAGGCTCCTTTTATGTAGTAGAATGTCAGCCTTCCTTGCCCGACCACTTCTGAGCACGCTTGATGTCATATTGTCCACCTGATCATTTCGCTACCTGCTCTCCTCGTCAAGGCTGCCCTCTCGCTGCTCCACCACTCGAGATGCTTGGCTCCTCTGAAACCATCATGTCGTTGTGTGCTAGAACCCAACAGGCTTCTTCTCTCCTTTCAACTGTGAGCGCAGGCAAGGATTCCTCTGCTCATATGATGATTTCATATGAGCGTAGCAGTGTTTATTCTTGTTTTTGTCAGTGTTGCTTGCATTTTAAAAAGGGCAATGCAGCTGCAAATGGAAATGAATTTAACACGTGCAGCTTTTTAAAATTGGCTACTGTGTTGCACAGCTGCAACCATTACTACCTATCATGTTTATGAGTGCCTCTGTGGATACTAAATACAACAACAAAATAATAAATATCATGTAACTTTCTACATCCATTGCTGCCATGATTTTTGTTGCGGCCAGTGGCCTTTGTATGTTTTCTTTTTCTCTTCCTTATCTGTATATCTGCAGCTTTCCAACCAAATTGACTCCACTGGGAAATGGATGCAGCCCTCATCCTCCTGTGCCACTCCTGAGGTTTACTGCAGAGCTGATTGGCTCACCAATTATCCACTCCACCAATCCCTGATGAGGGCTCCCTTTTTCAACCCAAGACTACCTGGGAGAAGTTGTGGTTGATTCTTTGTTGAGATAGCTGGACACTTTGTTGGGTGTTTGACTGCTCTAAATAGCTTTGTCTTTCTGTGAGCTTTTGTAAACTTTGATAGTTTTTGTCCCTGTATGGGTCTACTAGAAATTTGTAGTTTGTTTTTGGTTTAACCTTGTTTAAAAGGTGCAGTTGTGCTTTGTTAAGATCTTTGGTTTATAACTCTGATTGTTTTGAGGATTTTGTTATATTTAGTACTTTTGGTTGTCAGCGCCTACCTTTTGTTTATTGTAGGTTTTTGCCCTTTTATTTTGTTAAACCCAAACAATAAACCCTCAACTGTTAAACCTTTAACATCTAGGTTTCTTTAACTTCTCCTTTCCCCAGGCTGAGCTGAGTTGTAACAATTTTTAATGACTTATTGCGTAGACAAGCTTATTTACACATTATTTGAATTTCATTTCTAATTTAATGGAAACACCACAATTGCAAAACTGTGGTTTTTCAACACTAGCAGAATACAGACAAAGATTTGTGCACATTTGTAATGAGAACACAGCTACAGAACATCATTCATTCAGCATCCAAACATAGTAACAACCTAAAAAATCAGAGTAAGTCTAAAGAGGATGGTTATCTGGTTGAATCTGTTGGCTGGACAACTGTCTCACACTACATACGTTTGGCCTCAAGAAGGTAATAAGTAGAAGGAAGTCTGTTTGTTGAAGGAAGTCTCATTAATTTGACATGTAAAACAGTTTCCCTGGAGAAGTCAGTCCTAAAACATGCAGGACAGTTGCTGTTAAGGACTGACTTATGACAACCTCCACTGGCAGTGGCAGCATCGTGCTGTAGGGATGCTTTTGCTCAGCATAAACTCTGACAGAAATGCCTGTCAGAGCATGATTATTTACCATAATCATGGTAAATTATGGGAGAAAACTTGTTGCAAAGTGCAGTTACACTTTGCAGCATTTTTATTCTTTAGATCTGTGCTGCTGTACTGGGAGACAGACTGCCAAACTGATCTGGATGCTTGAACCCACAGTTTGAGCATTTAAAAGTTATACAGCTTGTCTGTATGCAAGAAAATCTCCAGGAGTTTTCATTACTTTTTCAAGGAGTAGTTTTGGAGTTTTGTACTTTGAACAAGAGGACCTGGTTAAAGTGCATTTATTTTGTTTTCAAACAAATGAATGAGAAACATATTTTTAACGAAATTCAAATGTCTTCTATAAGTGTTTGGTATTTAATCTGTAAGAGAGTCTGTCTTTATTTGCACTTTGCAGAAACAATTAGCTAGCAGCAAGTGTTGGTGCCAGAGAAAAAAGGTGAAGCCACAACACAGAAAAAAAACAACAGTGACTGATAAACAGTGGAGACTTGCTAAACTGAGGAAATGTGCATGAACAACATTTACAATATTCTAAATTGGTTTACAATATTAGGTAAACATTAAAATGTAGAAACAATCTCTTAAAATTTCTAAAATTATATGTCTCAAACCAAAACTACAAAGAAAAATGTCTTTATAACTAATAAGCATGATAAACTAAAAATCTACTTAAAAGTTGAAATGCCAATGAAATTACAGACAAAAATTAACATGAAGTTTAAATTGAAAGTAAACAATATCAATTAATGCAATTTCATTAAATGTTTTTTTTTTGCAGGAGCAAAAAGATTTCTTGGAACCGATCATAATGCTTTGTAAAAGACCTTGCTGGGTCTTATGTCCAGAAGGTGAGAGGCACACTACACCCTGCACAGGTAACCAGTGCATCATAGATCCTTCCAGAATACCCAGTTGTGTTGATAACATGGCAAAGGAATTTGACTATCTTATCCTTACATGGAAACAAGGACATGTCATTCTAAGACGCTGACATATTCATTGACACAGATGTCTACTTTTGAGAGTTGAGATAATAATTTGGAGAAAGAGACTGGCTTGTGCAGATGGCCCCTGGTCTTTTGGTGTTTACACAAATTGTTCTGAGAAATACACTCACCGTTTTGCAAATGTCAAGGACCGTTCAAGAAATTCATCAACGTGACTGAGAAAAACTGTAACATTAACAACCATCTTGTTCGACTCTATATTTCTGCCTTCATTAAAACCAGATCCTGGTTTAGAACTTTAACAAAGTCCATGCAAGCAAACTTGCCTCGATGGCACTGATCGAAAAGGATGTGACAATGCTAAATTTAGAACAATGTCCTGCGCAAGTGCCGCAGCCATGTTTGTTTCAGATAAACAGGACCCTCTTTAGTGAATGAGTCGAATGCTCCTCTGAACACTCCTGCTTTGTTGTCTGTCAGAGTGATTCATGATGTGATGATCATTACCTTATGAATAGTTTTTATAAATTCCATTTTGTAATCCCCAAAGAAATGGCAAGAATTTTCAGCACTGCGCAGGAGCTTGAAAGGAAAAGGAGTTTACTGAAGAAAATGTGACCAAAGTCACTGCTACATGCTCTCATTTCATCAATGGAAAGAGGCCAACTGACTTTCGAGACCCAATAACAGGGACTGTAATACTGTTCAGGTATGCTTATTTGGCTTATCTAGCAGACTGAAATCATCAGCATACATAGGACAATCCTTATCTTCAAATCATAAACACTCAATGACTAGTCAGTCACTAACCTTGCAAAGCAAATGTTTATACCACTGTGGCATTCTTATGTAATAAAGTGACATTCAAAGATGAAAATAAATAAAACATGAGAAACTCACATTTTTTTTAGCATTTATTTCCACAATTAATATAAAAAAATGACTAGAATAAAGGAAAAATTATACTCACTATTGTGAGGGCATTGGTATAAAAATAGCTTCCATGTACAAAATGGAAGTAGGGAGAAACTATAAATAATAATGACTTACAAAGGATATTGCCATTACTAATGCAGATTTTTCCAAAGTAATAATCAATAACAAGCAATTACATTTCAAAATTCATGTTATTTTTCACTTTGTTTGTTGGTTTTCACTTTATTTGAGGCTAAAAAAAACTATCAAGGTAAGTACACAAAGGAAGGATGTATTTATTTTTCAAATGCACAATTCAACGAATAGTTTGAAGATTTTTATCAATATTTGAGCTAAAAACAGCACACCTGCAGCCATTATGTCAATACAGAAGAGTTCTCTTGCATCGGAACCTGAAAGAGGACTTTCTTTTGTATGATGTTTTTACAAAACTACTTCTTTACTATTATGTCTTTCAGTTAATTTAATCTTAAGGTTGTGGAAAACAAAAAAGCACACAGTTGGTGCTAATTAAGACTCTCATACCACCCATTGTTCAGCGACATGGTGCTATTTAACATTGCAATCAGGTAACTACAATTGTAATAAAAATGGTGTATTTATCAAAACTAACTTAAAAGACATTTGACGTCACAATTTGAGAAATTGGACTCTGTTTCTCAAAAAAACTCCTACTCTTTCTGATACTCCACCTTCGGCATGTCATCGCAACAATGTTCCTCCTTCATGTCGTTGCAAAGTAGTTTATATCGTCACCTTCCTAAAATAATGACTTAAGTAATTTTTGGCAAAAGTGATAGTTTTGCCTAAATCATGTTTTGGCACTCTGTGGAGCAGAAACTCACCTGGACACTGCAGCTCTGAGGACGAGCTTTAGAAAAATAGGCAGGACATTGTATGAGCAAGTGTTTAGACACCTTCAAATTGCTGCCACGAGATATTCAAGGTTTTTCCAATATGCATGAAAGAATCAAAGCACCATTTGAGGTATGTCTTTGAAGAGGGATAAACATTATAATTTGACCTAAAAGTAATTTTTTACATTAACGTATTTTTCTCAGGTTGAATAAAAAGCCATCTACGAAACAGCTAGAGCACAAGTCAGGAACCCCGCACTCTCCCCACCTCCAAAAAAATGAAAAATAAAAAAAAAACACTGTTGCACCAAATATTATTTTTAATCTTTCATATATTGCACTGTTGGTTCATGGCACAAAAACAAGACAAAAATCAGCAACAACTAAAATAAGTTTAAAAAAGCATTACAATATGCCAATATGACAAAAATATATTTTTTTAGTTTTCACATTTCAAATTTCTTTATTTGTGTTATTAAATTTCATATTTTGTGTATCCCATGGAAATATGACATGTTTATTCTTCCATATATATTGAGATATTCTGTGGCTGTGGAAACAATTTTTAAATTTCATTTTACTTTGAATTGTAGCAAAAAACTAAATATTTGCATGCTGATTAAAAAAAAAACACATGTAAATACAATTCCAAATGTTCTTCATTACTGTAAATGCATACAAAGTACAGGTTACATGTGTTACTTATAGCATGCTTTAATTCAAACATGCTTTAATTCAGAGTTAGAGTGAAAAGGAACATTTGCTCCAAGCAGCACAAACAATCTGAACAATTGTTGAAGCAACAGTCTACAAAACATTGTGACATGGTAAATCATAAAAGAAGAACTGAAACAAATATCTGACAGTGTCTGAGGTCAAAATATATCAGCATTATTTCTTTACAGCAACATCTAAGCAATAAAAAAAACTGCTTTTTGACTGTTTCCAGTGTTGCATTACACCACATCAAATATCAAAAAAGGTGTTGCAAGAGGAAGCCTGACAAATATTCCACCAGAGCAGTGTCCCACTAATGTTATGTGGTGCTGTTCTTTATCATATTGAGGGCTGAGTGTATGTATGTCACAGCCCAGCAATGATATGCTCACAGTTTTCAGTTCTGTATTAAGATGAAAACATGGTTACCACGGTGCCTTTGGTCCAAATATTGCTTCAGTATCCCACATCACAAGGAGAATAAATAGAGAATGTGATAAATCACAGAGTGGATCGAAACAGTGCAATAATCAGAAATGTCCTATCTGCCTGCTAGAGAACATCAATGTCATTACTTGTATTTATGTCCTTTGCGTGAAGCTTCAAAACCGATGATTTCACCATGTAGCTTGGGGATGCAAAGAAAATCGGAGCAGAGTTTGCTTCATATTCTTTACATCCTTTCAAAACAGTAAGTTAATTATACAATCTCAATTGTTAAAACAGCCACATTGCTGCTCTTTGATCATCGCATGTTGATTAAAGCACATCTGAAACAGATGACAGCTGCTCGTTATCACGCTCAAAGCCCCTGGATCCATTCGCAGTGCTGGCATCTCAAGCACCTCATGTTCATCCTCTGAAGAAGGTGAGACAATCCATTAAGGGAAAGGCATAAACACTCAACTCTGGGAACCTGATTGTTGGCGCTGCCCCCCATCCA